CTTTGACACAATTGCTCTTGGGAGACCAAGCCATATAGTGAATTTACTTCATAGGCTAACGCCCTGCAGGTGCCCTCAGATGTAGTGCTTCACTGTCACATATTGGTGGTCCTTGGAGCACCTCTGACCTCCAATCCATCAACTCTCTTTATCACCAACACTGGTGCCTGAAGGTGTGAAGAGTATCCATCTCCACACCGCTCAGTCTCCAGAACTCAGGCATGGCTAGGATCTCTGTTCCCTTTCTTCATTGCGGTTCACTACCAGACTTTCTATCCACACAGCCCTATACTCTGCTCCAACAGTACTGGGTAGGTGGAAAAGCATGATGACCAAGCAAGCATCCAACTGAGAAATAAATTTGTTTACACTATTCTGACACCCCTAAGGTTTACAAGAATCTCTTTAGTCAGAATTTCTTTGGGAAAGGAAAATAGTCAGGCACCCCTTTTTCATCTTGATGAAATGATAAATTTCTGTCTCTATCACAGCCCTCTAAAATCACCTGAAGGTGGTAGGAATATGAACAATGGTAACAGAGTTTTGAACACTGGTCTCTCAGCAAGCTCTAGTACCCTCGTGGTTGGTGGTTCCCTAAGCCTAGAAGGTAGGGTGTTCTTAACAAACTTTATTCTTTTCTTGTGAGCTTTACTAGTCCATTATAGGGGGAGGAAATCTCATTTAAAACTCAATGTCTTACTGGTACAATTCATTTCTCACCTAATAGCCATAGATTCTTTAAAGCATTATTAATCCTTTCAAAGAAGCTAGCATGTATTTAAAATAAACACTCTATATACATACAACTCCCATACTGATTCTATGATGAACATATCATTGTTCCCATTTTACAAAGTAGGTATTGGAGGAAATCTGGCTTTCCTACATCATCTTCACTTTATAAAACAGAACTCCTAAAAGATGTGTTTACATTTTGATCATCCTCAGAACCTAGCAGTTACACAGAAGGATAGGATTGCTACTCAAGAAATATGTGATCAATGAACTAAAGTACTCAAAACTTGCTCGAATTTAGGAGTAGCCACTGCCTTTGGAGAGCACTTTAATTTCTCCTCATGTAGTAGCTATACTGCTAAACTCCAGTTATTCCACATCTTTGCCAACACTTGGCATGGTCGGTCTCACTTGCTTTTGGTGACATATGTAAAAAATCTGCCTAAAACAAGGTTACAAAAGTTTACTTTATGCTACTTACTAGAAGTATCACAGTTTCATGGTTTTATATTTAGGTCTATGATCTATCTTAAGTGAATTTTCGTATAATGCTGTAGTGTCAGTTTCCTATGGCTGCTGTAACAAATTATCACATATTTGGTGGTAATGCTCTCTCACAGTTCTAAGGCCAGAAGACCAAAATCAAACAGTCAGTAGGGCTGCCATATTCCCTCCAGATGCTCCCGGGGAGAATCTGTTCCTTGCCTCTTCTAGCTTCTGGTAACCAGTATGCTCTGACATTCCTTGGACTCCGGTCACATCACTTTTATCTCCATCTTCACATATGCTTCTTCTCTGTGGGCTTACTATCTCCATTTACCTCTCTTACAGACACTGACTGAATTTAGGGTCCACCCAGAGAATCCAGGATAACCTCTCCATGTATAGATCCTTAATTTAATCACTTCTACAAAGACTTGTTAAAAAAATAGAAATGCTATTGGGTATGTGTGCTCGCCAGAGAAAGGGGGAGAAAAAGTGAGAAAGCACTCTTCCAATTCCTTTTCCTCCTTTTACCTCTCCAGATTTTGAGCACACATGCATACATTGTGTGTTTTTCAATCTACCAGGTTGAAGGTTCAAACAGTGCAGTTGGCTGTGTGGGATCCAGCCACCTTAACCATACCACCTTGCTGCCCCATGTTTTTTTTTCTTTGAAAAGTTAACATTTGTAAGGTTTTAGGTACTAAAACTTGATATATCTGGATGCCCATTATTCAGCCCATTACAAAGGTAAAAATTGATATCCAGTTGTTCCAGCACCACTTGCTGAAAAGATTATCCATTTTCCATTGAATTACTTTTGCTCTTATCTTTTTTCTTATTAAATAAAAATATTTATTTTTACATTCTAGATTTTAATCTTCATCTATTATATCATATCTTCTCTCAATCTGTTGCTTTTACTCCTATTAATAAAACTAGAACATCAATAAATTTTGCATTTTGTAATGATCAAAATCAATGTTTACCTGTATATTTTTGCTTTCTGGTTCTTAAACTCTTCTCAATATTGACAATATATACATTTCCTTCTAATATCTAAATAAAATTAACTGTGTATTTGTTTCCTAATGCAACAGTTCCACTTCTTTTAATAACTGCTTCATAATACTTCTTGCTATCTGGATGGGTATCTTTTACCTTGACTCTTATTGTACATTTACTCTTTCTTACTAATTTTAGAAGGCCTCACATCTCTTTGGTTTATTACTTCTATAGCCCTTTTATGAAGCTTAATCTTATTAGCTCAACTACAATTTGTTCAATAGGATACACTTACTACAAAGAATTAAAATATTCTTCCACTAACAATCAATAATGAGTACAGCAAGTTTAATTTTTATATAACATACATGAACTTATCATTTGTCTTTATACCTGTAGATAATAACATAAAATGTTACAAATCCCTGTACGGTGATGGTTTAATCTGTGTAAGAATGTCCCGCCTATATAAAAATGTGACACTTGTACATTATTCTAAAGCAATGATTAACACTTAACTACTCCTAATTTCTCAAAACTCTGATCCTTTTTCTAAGCCTGCCCCATTGTCAATACTTCTGCCTGCTCTTCAAGGTTCCACTATTGGTCATACTTTTCTTTTTTTTTTTTTCACAGAAGTCATTCTACTTAACTAGACATCACCTGCCTCCCCAACTTCTTTTTTCACTAGAGAAATTTTACCTGAAAATCACCAGAATGTAGACTTATTTGTCTCCTGATCATTATTGTTAGTAACACATTATTCTTTTTCTTTCTTTAAGAGAGATCTTTGCTATGGGTGTGTGTACTTCTTGCTGGAGAAACATAGAAAGACAGAGACAGAAAAGAAGAAATCAGCCTACTGCCTCCTTCCCCGCCCCCAAGACAGAGGCCATGTCGCCATCGATTCTCCTCCATTGTCCTTTTGGGCATACATGCACACGTGCCTGGCATGAGTTTAGAGCTGTCAGGTCCAGAACTCGAAACATGGTTGGTCATGTGGGAGTCCAGCAACAAAACCATTACACTGCTGGTCCCAGTAACATATTATTTATTCTTAACACTGAAAACATCATGCTATGTTACATAATTGATGCCTATATATTTTGAAAGAATATTAAATGACCCTAAGATGTTGAAGAGACAGTACTACTTCATTACTATCATAAATATTTTATAAATGTCTACTGAAAATTTATAATAAAAGTCAAAATTACAAGAAACTACATTCATAGTACTTGTAGTATATACCTCATTTAAATGTGTCTAAAAAGTTTAGAACGTTGTGTAAGTCAAGTTAAATATTTATGGAATCCCTGAAGTATTTTAAGAAACTATGGCTTGAAATCACTGCTCTAGTTCTATTATACTCTTAAGCTAACATGCAACAATATTTAGGATCAATTTTCTTGATAGTTTTCAACAGAAAATATATAAAAATCACATGTACAATGGAAATACTGATCACTGAAAATGTGCAGATATACACAGTCATGTGGTTAATCAAGTTTCACAGTAATATACACTTATCTTACATTCACTAAGAGGGTATTTATTTTCTTTGGGGAAAATTCTGGGAAAAAAATTAGACCTAATTTTATATAGTAAAGGTTTTTAATAATTTACTGTTTAAATAGTCTTTCATTTCATGTAGTTTTACAATGACACTAACTTCACACTTGATAGCCAGTCTATTTCTGAATACTAATGGTATATCATTAGAACTCCAATTGTCATTATGGTTTCCAGAACTTTTCTCAACTTTTTATCCAGCATCCCAAGACTTCTCTCTAGGAAATGGCATTCTGATGTAGGGCTTAGAACATGTATGTAATCTCCAGCTTTTTCTCCCTCTGTGGAAACTGATCACCTCTCTTTATCTGTGCCTCTCAAACCTATTTTTCCTTCTTCTATTAAAATTTAATTTAGCCAAAAATTTGCCTGGATAGATGAAAGGTACATTAGAATGAAAGTTTTGTTCTCTAATTCTTATCTTTATTTTCTATCTCTTAAAATAAGATCTTAATTCCCTTATTAAAATATAAAAAAAACTAAAAGAAACCTAGGAAAATAACATAAGTATGAAAAACTAAAATTTATGGCAAAAAATTTACATATAAACAGGATAATTTTGTTTATGCCATTAGAAAAATAAGAACTATGAGGACAAATTATAATTGTTACATTAATATTTCCCAATGACTCACACTCCTGCCTTCTGTATCTCTGTGTAGTCCTACGATGACTCTAACCTTGGCCATATAACATTCTGTCCAACAGAACATCAGCAAATGTGACAGAAGTCCAGCTAGATAAACTCTTGCTCACTGGAGCTCACCCTCTCACAATGTTTTTTCTATCATGAGATGAAGCCCAGTGTAGTCTACTGAAGGTTGACAGGCCATGTAGAACACAGACAGCTAACTCACTGAATTATGAAAAAGAATACACATCCTTTTGGATATGTTTTGGGGTGATTTTATTATACAAATGCAGCAACGGATAATGTAGCACCTTATCTCTATGTCTGTGGCACAGAAGGGAGATTTTTAAAAAGCTACATAGAATTTGAAAAAATAATTAAATTTCTCTGAAATCTTCACAAATATCAGACCTCCGTACACTTGTATTTCTCCCTCTCCATACTAAGCTGTTTATTCCACTTAAATAAGTTTTACAAGACTCAATATTTTACAATATTTTAACTGTTATCCTATACCTATATCTATCTATTCCACAGGTAGACTGCATGTAACAACTAATCAATGAACAAAGAATACATGATAAATATTTTTTTTTTATTTTTAAACACGGAATTGTACATCTTTCATATAAAAGATCAGATTCTAGCCTCTGTTTTGAAAAATAATTATATTGGCTAATACCATCTTTACAATTTTTACACAATCCAATGTTCTCAAAATCTTCAACTTCATTCCATACCTTCTACAGAATCATAATCCCTTCAATACATTTCCAAAATTTGTTAAAAAATAAAAAATTCATATAAGATAGGCTTATTTACTACCTTAAAACTTGATAGATTATAGTAGAACTGTCCAGACCTCCAGCTACCACTAATGCTTTCCCAGAACAGAGAAGCCAACATGTTGGGAGTAATTAATTGTCTGTATTTACTTTTATTAAAAAGAGGTTTTTGGTAGTGAGAACAAATAATCTCTCATTTGTTGCCTGAAAGCCTAAAATAGGATCGTTGGTTTCTAGGCTGGCTACTTGCTGCTTAGCAACCTGCCCTACCTGCCTGCCTTCCTTTCTGTTGTAGAGTACAGTGGACATGGGAGCAGGCTGACGGTAGATGAATACTCGACGAAGGCACTCACAAAGGGCTGCATAAGAGTAATTTGGAGCACAGGCAAAAAATTTTTTGTCTCTCTTTGATGCTTGAACATAGCCTGCCAAAGATATGAAACAAACAGAAGCAAAACAATATATTAAAATGGGAGACTGTCATGATTTATCATTTAGTATTTAACAGTTCATCATTCTTATATTACAAATGAAAATGCCTAAGTAAAATATATACCCAAAATACTCATCAATGGTTGAATTTTGAACCATTAATGGTTAGCCATAATCAATCAGTTCCAAGTGGTATAAAAACACAACTTTCATTTCCTAAGGAGCAAAAGAGGGCTTCATCTATTCAAGAAAAGCATAATATAGTTTCATCTCATTTCTATGAATGATTAAAATACTAAAAATCTAAAACACTAAATACATGCCAAGATATTTAAAAATGCCAGTTTACTATTCATGAATCACAGATATGGCATTACAGAAATCATTTTTTTTCTCTTACCAAATAAATGGAAAACGTTTATAGGATACATTCACAAAGTTATTTCAGGAATCTGTTTATAATGCAAGCCTAAAGGCCTGTTAATAGTGTGTCCCTGATAGTACTAATATTCACAATGCATTCTCTTATTATCCCTAAAATGCTAGTGGTAGTTTTATAACCAATACCAAAACTGCAACAAGATTTTGTTGTGCTTCAGCTCTCAGAATTGTATCCATGAGATCACTTGTAAGCTCCAAAGAAAATTCAAGTATCTAATTTAAAAAAGAAAAGTTAGAATATCCCTTGAAAATAAATTAAAATTTGAAAAATATTAATCTCATTTGTGTAAATGTTTAAAAAATATCTTTACAGATTAAAATGACATTTATAATCTGAAATATAAATCTGGATATTCAGATTTGGTGTAGGTTATAACATATGAGATAAATATAAAGCTAATGACATCTCTTCAAACAATGAATGAGCAAAGTAACCACTGTGCACAGGCAGATCAAAACTGTTTTTTAATATTAAAAAGTGGCTGAAATGAGAAAAGTGAACACCTAGGTAAATATTTATAAGTAGTTCAGAATTAACTCTCCAGGCTAACCCTGACAATACACCACAAGAGACCAAAAAAAAAGTGTTACCAGTCATACATATATTACATACATAGGTATATCTTACACATACATCTCAAAATTACAAAAAATGATGATGTGCTACCAGACACATTCTTCATAGATATAGAAAAGACAATCATAAAGTTTGTCTGGAATCATAAAAGACCCCGTATTGCCAAGGCAATTCTGCACAAGAAGAGTGGAGCAGACGGCACCTCACTCTTTAACCCAAAAATATACTACAAAGCTGTGGTAATCAAATCAAAATGGTACTGGCACAGAAACAGACACATGGACCAATGGAACAGAATAGAGTCCCCAGAAATAAATTTCCAAACATACAGTCAACTGATTTTTGACAACGGGTGCCAGTCAATCCAGTGGGAAAAGGAAAGTCTCTTCAACAAATGGTGCTAGAAAAAATTAATTTCTACTTGCAGAAAGATGAATCTGAATCCTTACATCTCACCTTTGACAAAAATCAAGTCAAGGTGGATCAAAGATCTAAATCTAAGATCTCAAACTATAAAACTGCTGTGGAAAACACTGAGGAAACGCTGGGAGACATTGGAGTTGGGAAAGACTTCTTAAATAAGACCCCCAAAGCAGAGTCAATAATCCCCAAAATAGGCAAGTGGGATTATATCAGACTAAGAAGTTTGTGCATGGCAAAAGACACAAATGACTTAAAAAACATTCGTAATTTTGGCTTATGATTTCATTATCAGTTTTTGTAAACTATGTGTTGGGTAAGGGACTGGTAACTGGAATTCACAAGGAACTCAAGCAGCTGTTCTGGAAAAAGACAATCCTATTAAAAGATGGGAGAAAGAGTTGAAAAAACCACTCTCTAAAGATGACATACAATAGCTAAAAGGCATATGAAAAAATGCTCAACATCCCTCATTGTAAGGGAAACACAGATCAAAACAACAATGAGATACCACTTAACCCCAGTCAGAATGACTAAGAGTAAAAAAAACCAAAGAAAACGGTAAGTGCTAGAGGAGATGTGGTGAAAGGGGAACTCTCTTACACTGCTGGTGGGATTGTAAATTGGTCCAACCACTGTGGAGAACAATTTGGAGATTCCTCAAAAACCTACAAATAGAACTACCAAATGATCCATCAATCCCACTCGTTGGTATCTACCCAAAGGATAGAAGTATACTTAATCGGAAAAGTGCTTGTACATTGATATTTCTTGTGGCACTATTTACAATTGCTAAGTCATGGAACCAACCCAAATACCCACGAACAGACGAATGGATTGAAAAACTGTAGCACATATACTCAGTGGAATACTATTTAGGTATAAAAAAAAATTAAAAAAAATAAAAAAAAAAACCCTGACTTTTGACAGAAAGTGGAAGAATATGGAAGATTTACTGCTGAGTAAAGCAAGCCAGGCTATGAAGGAGAGGCATTGTATGTCCCCACTTAATATATACCGTGTGTCTGCACTCTATGACTGAAACTAATTGTCTAAAGGATATAGAAACGCAGTGTATAGATGTAAATACCAGATATAGTGTGTGTGCAAGAGGGTCTGAAGAGGGACATTTGGGGGAGGGACAGGGCTTGCAATGATAGTGAAATGTAATGATGAAAAGAGGAATTACGTGTTACTAGGATATTATTCCTGACTTTCTTGAGTGTGGTCCTTCCTATTAGAGCTACCTAATTTTCACGCTTAATTGGTTAAAAATAAAAATGGAATTCAGAATCAGTGTGCGTGGCGGGTGCTGCACCCTGCCCGGGGCCAAGGCAGCCCCACCACCTAGCAGGTGACCGCTGTGTTTTAGCAGCTCATGTTGTGTGCTGGTAAAGGCACTTCCACAGTTTAAGAAAATTATGAATATTCGCTTCTGGAGAGACCGAGTTCATGTCCTTTGTATTATTTAAATCTATGTTTGTTTGAGTAAGTCTCGCTGATTCAAACAAAAGAAATATTCACTCTGTAAGGTAAATAATGTGATTGAATGTATAAAAGAAAATGAAATTTAAAAATGTAAAAAAAAAAGATGTTGTACAACATAATTATAATGTTCATTGTTGTAATGATGAATATGCTAATATCCGTGACTAGAACACTGCATGCAGTCTTTGAAAAAGTTTTTATATGGTACCCCACAAGATGTATAACAATTAAATGTACATATGAAATTTAAAAAACAGTATCTCAAGAGTACATATCTAATGTAATACAATGTTGATTTTTTTTTTCTTTAGAGAGAGATTTTTGCTATTGGGCACGTGCACTCCCCATAGAGACAGAGAAATAGAAAGCAAGAAATCACCCCCTAGGGGGAATGGCCAAACTAATCTTCTACTCCATTCTCCTCTCGGGATCTTGGGCACACACACCCAGCATGCTTTAAGCCACCGGGTCTAGGACTTGAGCCGCAGTCAACTACATGGAAGTCCTGTGATGTAACCATCAGGCCATCTGCCAGTCCCAAAACATATCTGATGTAATGTAATGTTGATTTAATCTAGACTTAAGCAAAAAATCCCTGTATAACAGAGGAGCTGGAAATACAAATGGAGAATCTGAGCAACTAGAAATTATATAACAGAGCTTTACTCTTAATGAAGAGTGAGTATATAGAATTTTAAAAAAACAGGAATTATATACTGAGGCTAGAAACTATGTAGTTAGTCAATCAAACTTTGTATTTCAAATCCAAAAATCAATTTATAATCTGAATTTACTAGGTTAATTAATTAGCCAGGTTATCCCTTATAATAACTATAAGGGATAAACTGACAATCTTATGATTTGAGTTATTCACAAATAGCCAATTAAAATGCATACTTTTACTTGCTACCACTTAAAAAATAATGTTCAATAAAAGAATGGTTGCTAATTCACATAAAAAATGTCTCCCACACATAACTAATGTATTTAGACATACGATCAATGATTGCATAAGTCTGCAATTATGTAGTTTAAAATATTCATTACTTGGTTTTAAAATCAGTTATTTTTCCTTTTATCATACCAAATAAATTTAATTTCTGTTCATTGCCACACAAGTGTTATTATTATAATGGTTCTCTTTTGCACTTAAATTTCACAATGTTTTCTAATGTGCATTATTTTAGATCAATTCTATTGTGTAATGTTTTTGAAGATTACCGTGAAGAAACCTGAACACAAGTTCCATGTTGGGTATTGTCAAGCCCTCTGTTCATAGCTTACAAAATTAGAAAATTAATTAGAATGATTCAAGTGGTGATACCCACTTTCTTTTCTATTCTATGTTGATCTTCTGCATAAACATAAAAACAGATTAATCCTATTGTTCCAAAAGTACAAACATTCATCCACCACATAGTAAAAACAACCAAATTATAGCAAAAATTGATCTAAATGTAATTAGGACAGCTAAAATAAAAAAGGAACTTTACTGTACTGTTTAATATAATGAAAATTATCAAAGAGCTTGCTTTATACCTAAAGCATTGAAAGTTGCGATGTGCTCCCACATATCATCTTGTTTGCTGCAGTGTGGTTGCCAGAGTAGGGCATCAACATCATGGCGCAAACAAAAGCAGGGCATTTCTTTGGGATCCACTATGACAGAGAAAAGGTACTGGTTGCTTCCAAGATTCACCTAAAAAGTGAAAAAGTAAATTACTTAACAACAAAAATAATGATAAAAACAGACACAAAGCACTGTCAGCAACTGTCCTAAGCTGTCCATATTTGTAATCTGAATGACTTCTTATAATACCCCTAAAAGAGATGTGCTGTTATGTTCATTTTAAAGCTGAGGGGAGTGACAGCAAAAGATTTAAGTAACTTGCCCAAGGGCAGCCTGGTAATAGCTGTAGAACTGAAAATATGGACCCAGTCTAGATTCTTCTAGATCCTTGACCATCATGCTACTTTTAACCATTATATTACTTTTTAACTGACAGTAACTAGGGGTTGAATATCCCCTATCTAAAATGCTTGGGACCTGAAGTGTTTTGGATTTGAATTTGGGAATACTTGCATACCATATAAATAGCTATCTTTGGTATGGGACCCTAAGTCTAATCATGACATTCATTTACTGTTAATGTAAAAATTACATTCAGAGCCTGAAGGTAATATTATACAATATTCTTGTATGCTAGTGCTTTGACTATAAACCATCCCATGAGGTCAAATGTGAAATTTTCCACTTGTGGTATCATGCTGGTGCTAAAATATTTCAAATTTTGGGGCATTTTAGATTTTAGATATTCAGATTAGGGATGCTCAGCTTGTAGTTTAAAACATAAAAAGCACCAACTTTACAAGCAGAATATTTATACTAAAGAATACAAACATGTTTACTAATGCTAACTTGTAATAATTACTAAGAACAATGTCAGCTACTAGAATTTATGAGTATATTTTATAAGCCAGGCATATTATAAATACAGGTCTTATCAAAATCTCACAAGGCAGTTATCTTCATTTAGTAGATTTTAAAAAAAACTGACTTGGAGGGCTTGAGTAACTTGGTTTAGTCTATATGGACAAATTACAATGCTGGAATTCAAATTCAGATCTGTTTGCAAATTATTCACTGCTTAACAATGGTATCAATGTCAATAATTATATCAATAGTTGTTACTGGAATACTGATGCCTAAAGGAATTCATTTTAGTACAAAATCATCCAATTGAGACTCATAATTGCATTCAACTACAGGAATCCTTCTTTTAGTGAAGAATTTTTTTGATGTCCTCTTGTATAAGCTGTTTGAACTCTGAGAAGACCCACCCCTAGAACCATGTATATTATTCCTAACAAATGATTTATCATACTATGTTAGACTATTTATACACATGTATATCACCTGTAGTAGGCTGAATCATGTCCCCTGGAACCTATGAATAAGTTACCTTACATGGCAAAAGGGACTTTGTAGATGTGGTGCTAAGTTTAGAATCCTGAGATGAAGAGCTTATCCTGGGTTATCTGTTGGGCCCAATGTACTACACTAAGGTTTCTTACAAGAGGACTGAAGGAGGGCCACAGACACAGGAAGTAATGTGACAACAAAAGCAGAGGGATAGAGATTCAAAGACACTACGCTGTTAGCTTGGAAGATGGCCAACTGTAACAGGCTAAGTAGTGAATACAGCCTCTAGAACTTAGAAAAGGTATGAAAATGAATTTCTCCCCTAACTCTTAGAAAGAATGCAGTCCTTACAATCTATTTTAGAATTTTGGATGTCCAAAATTGTCGGGAGAACAAACAAAGGAGCTATTTGTGGCCACTGACCTTGTGCCAATTTACTAAAGCAGCAATAACAAACTAATACACTATCCATCTCACAAAACTAAGTATCTTTAGAACCAGAAGTTTGCTGTCTTATCTCCATATTCTAGGAAACTGTTTTTGAATGATTATCTAAAAGTATTTTTCCAAAGACAAGTCTATCTTTAGATTTGGAAATATTTCAGTCTACCTTAAGTGTTGCAATAAATGGCTAAAGACTTTGCAAGGCAAAATATTACTATTGCATTCTTAACAAACGCCCTGGAGGGTGATTAGGGTCAGGAGCTTCTAGACTTAACCAGTACATAGTTCTCATCTCTGGATATCAACTTTTTCAGTATTTTTTTCTCATGTCTTTCCAGTGTTTAAAGAAACTGTCCAAACTGCCCTGAATAGTGTTTTTGAAAATTTCTCAAAAGCTGACCCCAACATACCTTTTCAATATTTGCTCTTATTTTTGTCCTCAAAACAAAATACTGAGCAAAACTGGATTATAATTTATGAAACTGTCTCCCCTACTTTCCCACTCCTTTGTTTATTCATGACTTTTCTTCTCACTGCATATCCTCCCCATTACATTGCCCATATGCAAAGAGTATCTTCTCTCCCAAGAAGCTTCCTCTAATGTTAAGAAATAATATCTCATAAAAATTTACATATACCTTTCCTTAGAATTTATTTCACTTAATTAACTGTGTTGTCAGAAAAGTCATGACACATTTTTGTACAGAAAAACATAGAAAAATAGGTCATGACTTTCCCAACAACCCAATAGTTTGTGTGTTTAACCGGTCTAGAAGGGTGAGAATTATATCTTGAGTAAGATTCTTAACTTCTGTTTTATTCCCATTTAAATTCAGTGAGAATAACAGTAACTATTTCAATTGTTATAGGTAAACACAGTATGTTTTAGGCACTTGTACGATATTTGTCAATTAGACCTTAATAAATGTTAATGCTATTACCGTTCTAGGTTTTTACACATTCTCTTTGTATTAATACTGGCCTTCCAAAAGAAACAAATAACATGAACAGTAATGTGGAAAGATAACTGTGAGAGCAGGTATCTTGATCAAGTACCAATCTTAGTGGGAATTATTTTTGTTCATTATCACAATTTAGAAAGCAAGTGGCGTGGTGGTTAAGGCACTGGACATTCCAACATGGCTGACCATGGTTCAAGTCCTGGACCTGGTGACTTGCTTTCTCATTTTCTCTCTCTCTCTGGTCAAATTAAAATAAATAAACGAATAAATAAAATTAAAAATAATTCTTTCAAAGAAAGAAAGTTTACTGTAGCATCTTCAAGGAGGCAATTACCTTCAATTCCTGTCTGCTGAGCATTTTTATCATATATGAATGTTAAGTTTGTCACATTTCTTTCTGTATCTAAGATGATCTTTTTTTTCTACTTCAGTTGAATCATATTTTGATTCAATGAATAGCCTTAAAGTCTTAAGATAAACCCTTTGTCATGATGTTATCCTTTTCACTTGTTGCAGAACTAGATTTATTAGCATTTGTTAAATATTATTTTTTTTTCTCATGTAATGTCTTTGTCTAGTATTAAGGTAATGCTGGCTTCATAAAATAAGTTAGGAAGTGTTCCTTTCTCTCTTATTTTTTGGAAGTTTATACAGAATCAGTAATGTTTCTTCATTTCCTAGAATACATCAGTGAATCAATCTGGGCATGGAGATTTCTTAGATTTTTATAATAAATTCCATCTCTTTAACTTATGCAGGACAATTAAAGTTATCTATTTTTTCTTGAGAGAACATTAGTAATTTTGTCTTTCAAGAAATGTGTTTTTACATGAAAACAAAGTTGTACATAGTATAACATTTAGTATACATTGGTGTCTTTAGAAGTTATTTTAACCCCTTTTATTGGTAATCTGCATCTTTTTCAAGCATTCTAGGTAGACTTGATAGTCTTTTTCAGGACCAGGTTTTGGTTTCATTTGTTTTCGCTATGAGTTTTAGTTTTCAATTTCACTGGTTCTCACTCCTTTCTTCCCTTCTGCTTGTTTTCACTTAGCTTGAGCTTCTTTTCCTAGTTTAAGGTAGAACTTAAACCACTAAATTCAGATACTTTTTCTTTTCTTACGTAATATATAATGTTATGAGTTTCCTTCTAAACACTGCTTTAGCTGTATCCTTTAATCTGCAGTGTTTCATTTTTATTCAGTACAATATATTTTCTAGCTTTCCTTGTGAGCTCTATTCTGACCATGATTTACTCAGAAGTATGTTTAATTCACAAATATTTGTGGACTTTTCAGAATTTTGTTAATTTCTAATTTAATTTCGTTGTGGCCAAAGAACATTGTTTATGATTTCCACTTATTTAAACTTGTTGGAGTTTGTTTTATGGCCCAGAGTAACTTCTGTCTTGATGAATATTCCCTATCTTTTGGGATTCCAATGAGATGTTAGAACCATAGCTCTTAGATGTTTTTTTCAAATTTTTTGCCTTTATCTTGTACCTCCTTTTATTTCAGTCCTCCCTCCTTCCCTTCCTGCTTTCTTTTTTAAAGGTTATTTTGCCTAGGGTGCAGGCACTAGCTGGAAAGATGAAGAGAAAGAGACAGTTAGAGGGAAAGTGAGAAATCACCTTCCAGGGGCATGTTACAATCCCTTTCTCCTCCACTCTCTTCCTAGATTTTTTGGGCATGCATGCGTACACACCTGGCATGATTTTTCAAGCTACCAGTTCCAGGCCTCAAACCTCGGTTGGCCATATGGGAGTGCAGCTCCTTAACCAGCATGCTACCTGCTGCCCCCTTGGTTCTAATTTTTAATAAAGGCTTTTCTTTTAAAAATCTTTAATTGTCCCAGGGCACATATACTAACCAGAGAGAGACAGAAGGAGAGAGAAAGCAACCTCCAATGGAGCATGAACACTACGAAATCCCTTCTCTATTTTTCTACCCTGCCAGGACCTTGGGCAATCATGCACATGTACCTGACAGGTTCAAGCCTCTGGAGCTAGGATCAGAACCACGGCTGGTCATATGAGGTTCAGCTTCCTTTAATCACCATGCTATGAGGCCAGCCAGTCTTGCTAATTTTTCTTAAAGAATTATTTTATTTAACTTTATTTATTTATTCTTAACTTAACCAGAAAGTCGGGGGGGGGGTGACAGAAAGTGAGAAGGAAGCCACAAGGCTCAGGACCCAAACAGTGGTCAACCATGTGGGAGTCCAGTGCCCTTAAGCACCATGCCACCTGCTGGCCACTGAGTCTTGCTAATTCTTTATTAACCTATTTTTGAGGTCGCTGATTTTTTTCCACCTATGGATGTATTAAGCATATTAATAAACTTGTCAAAGTATATTTTGTCTCTTGTTGCT